GCGCCTCACAGTCCTCCCTGGTTCTTACTGCTCTGAACAACATCAGCCCTATTCATACGAGCCCATTTGGGCCGGGGGGCGGAGCAAACGGGCGCGATCCCACCTCAACATCTGGGGAGCGTGCCGTCTCCGTCCCTGAGCCGTCCCAAATCCTTGCGCCGCCGCATCCCGGCCCCCGGCCATACTGCGCATGCTCGAGCATGCGCAGTTCGGCAGCCTCCCCCTCCCATCGGACTTTTCCTCCCCGGCATCTGATCGTGCCGGGGAGCGATGCGCCGCGGCTCAGGGGATCCGTGGGATCCCGCCGCGGCGTCTCAAGTTTGGAGCGGCTCTGAGTAGCCGCGTTTCAGCCGTCCCGTGTGGCAGGGGCCATCGTGTCATCTGCAAATTTAGCCACTTCACTGCTTACTCCCAACTCCAAATCATTAATTAACAAGTTAAAAAGCACTGAGTACCAAGTACCTAGTACCGAGCCCTGAGGTACCCCAGTGCTTACCACCTTCCACTATGAAAACTGCCCATTTATACTCATTCTCTGTTTCCTGTTAATTAACCAGTTTTTAATCCACACGAGGATTTGTCCTCTTACTCCATGACTGCTGAGTTTACTTAAGAGCCTTTGATGAGGAACTTTATCAAAAGCTTTCTGGAAGTTCAGGTAAACAACATCTACTGGATCAGCCTTGTCCACATGTTTATTCACCGCCTCACAGAACTCTAAAAGGTTAGTGAGACTAGATCTTACAGAATCTATGCAAATTCTTCCTCAATACCTTTTGTTAATCAATGTGCCTACTAATTGTATTTCTAATAACAGATTCCACAAATTTACCTGGTATCAGCGTTAAACTGACCGGCCTGTAATTTCATGGAATCTCTTTGATAGATGGGGGTTACATTAGCTACCTTCCAATCCTCAGGAATGAAGGCAGATTTTAGTGATAAATTGCATATTTTTGTCAGGCAATCTAAAAGTCTACATTTGAGTTCTTTCAGAACTCTTGGATGTATGCCATTTGGCCCTGATGATGAATCAGTTTTTAATTTGTCCATCAGTCGTAGGACCTCCTCTCTCATCACTTCAATCCAACTCAGGTCTTTCGATGCCTCCCAGCTTCCACAGTGAAGACAGAGGCAAAAATGCATTCAACTTCTCTGCCATTTCTCTACCATCCTTTAGTAATCCTTTTACCCTTTGGTCATCCAAGGGCCCCACTGCCTCCCTAGCCGTTTTCCCGCTTCTAATGTATTTGAAGAATTTTTTAATTGTTGGTCTCGTCTTTATGTTTTTTGCAATATGTTCTTCATAGTCCCTTTTTGCTTGTCTGATCACTGACTTGCATTTTATTTGCCAAAGCCTGTGCTCCCTATTAATCACCACACTTGGACTAGCTTTCCACCGCTTAAAGGAATCCTTCTTACCTTTTACTGATTCCATTACTTTGTTCATTAACCATGCAGGCCTTTTCTTATACCTATTTGTACCTTTCCTAACCTGTGGTATCCACTTTATCTGAGCTTCCAGTATTATAGTTGTCTAATCCCATTTTAAAGCTATTTGTTTCTGTGGCCATCACTACATCCTCCAGCAGCAAATTTCACATTTTAATCACTCTCTGTGTAAAGTAGCATTTCCTTTTGTCTCTCCTGAACCTACTGCCGATCAGCTTTATTGGATGCCCTTGAGTTCTAGTATTTTGGGAGAAAGAGAAAAAGTTCACTTTGTCAACTCCCTTCACCCCATGCATAATTTTATAAACCTCTACCATGTCCCCCTTTGGTTGTCTCTTTTCTAAACTGTACTTTTCTAAACTATCTCTTTTCTAAACTGTACTTTTCTAAACTGTACTTTTCTAAACTGTACTTTTTCCAGCTGTGCAATATCCTTTTTGAGATATGGTGGCCAGAACTATATACACAGTATTCCAAATGAGGCCACACCATAGATCTATACAGGGGCATTACAATTCTGGCTGTTTTATTCTCAGTCCCTTTCCTAATAATCCCTAACATAGTTTGCCTTTCCCCCCCCCCCATCACTGCAGTACACTGGATCGACACTTTCATTGAGCTATCTACTACGACCCCAAGATCTTTTTTCCTCTCAGTCTCAGCAGGTTCAGACCCCATCAGCCTTGGTTTTCACCATCCTGATTTTGTGTCATCTACAAACTTGGCCATCACCACATTACTCAGCCCCAGTTCCAGATTATTTATGAATAAATTAAATGGTACCAGCCCCAGTACCGATTCTTGTGGGACCCTGCTGCTTACTTCCCTCCATTGTGAGAACTGTCCGTTGATTCCTACTCTTTGCTTCCTGTCACTTAACCATTTTTTAATCCATAATAGAACCCATGATCTTATCCCATGACTGCTAGGTTTACTCAGGAGTCTTTGGTCAGGTACCTTGTCAAAAGTCTTTTGAAAGTCCAGGTATACAATGTCTACTGGATCACCATTGTCTACATGCTTGTTCACTTTCTCAAAGAACTCCAAAAGTGAGGCAGGACATCCCTTTGCAGAAGCCATGCTGATTTTCCCTCAGCAGGCTTTGTCCCTCTATGTGCCTAACAATTGTATCAGAACAAATGTACATGAACACGAAAGCTTATACCCAGAATTAAATTTTGTTGGTCTTAAAGGTGCCACTGGACTCAAACTTTGTTCTGTTGCTTTAGACCAACATGGCTACCCACCCTAATCCTATCTTTGATGACAGTTTCTACTAATTTGCCTGGGACAGACATTAGGCTGACTGGCCTGTAATTTCCTGGTTCCCCTCTGGATCCCCTTTTAAAAATTGGTGTCACATTTGCTACTCTCCAGTCTTCTGTTATAGAGGCTGAATTTAGTGATAAGTTAAATATACAGGTTAGTAGATCAACAATCTCACATGTGAGTTCCTTAGGGACTATTGCATGTATGCCATCAGGACCTGGAGACGTATCTGTTTTTAATTTCCCCAGGAGGTCTAGAATGTCACCTTTCATCACCTCAATTTGGCTCAGTTTTTCAGCCTCCCTTCCTGAAAATAGGACCTGTGGCATACGTACATGACCCACACTTTCACTCGTGAACACAGAAGCAAAAAAGTCATTGAGCTTCTTGGCCATCTTCCCATCTTCCTTTAGCAATCTCTTTATTCCTTTGTCATCCAAAGGCCCTATTACTTCTCTAGCTGGTTTCCTGCTCTGGATATATTTTTTTAATGTTTATTGTTTTTCTTTATGCTTTTAGCAACCTGCTCCTCAAAATCTCTTTTTGTATGACCAATTATTGACCTACATTTCTTTTGCCAGAGCCTGTGGTCCCTCCTGTTCAATTCATCAGGGCAAACCTTCCATTTTTAAAAAAGAAGCCTCTTAGCTTCTTTGACTTGCGTTGTTAACCACGCAGGCCTTCTTTTCAATTTGCAGTGCCATTCTTCACCTGTGGAATGCATTCTATTTGGGCTTCCATTACTGTGATTTTAAATAGCTTCCAAGCATCCTCTAGGGATTTGACTCTTTTGTGTTTCCCCTTCAGCTTCCTTTTTAGTATTCCCCTCATTTTTGTAAAGTTCCCTCTTTTGAAATCAAATATTTCAGTTTTGGATTTTAGGGGTAACTTTCCATTGACCTGAATGTTGAACTGAATAGCATTTGTTCACTATTCCCAATTGGCGTAACAATCTCTACATTCATCTCCAGGTCTTGAGACCTGCTCAGAACCAAGTCCAAGATCACTACCCCCCTGGTTGGCTCTGTGACCAACTGTTCCAGTGCACAGTCATTTATGATGTTTAGGAAACTCATTTCTACAGCATGACTTGAGCATATATTTACCCAGTCAATGTGAGGGCAGTTGAAGTCTCCCAGTATAATAACATTATCTGATTTAGTCACCTCCCTTATTTCCTTCTTCATCTCAAGATCAGCTTCAAGGGTTTGATCAGGTGGGTGATAGTACACCCCCCACTTTTAAGTAATCCCTAGGGCCCAGTATTTCCACCTGCATGCTTTGTTGGGCCATATCATATATAATTTGAAAAAAACTTCCCCACATAATAAGATGCTGTGCTTGAAACTCACAAGTTTAAAAATAAGTCTCTGGCAATGTATGCAATGGTCCTTGCCCATTTGTAAACCATCAAGCAAGACTAGACTTATGAAGTCCAACTTGGGAATTTTCTTACCACTTACTTCACTTCTTTTAAAAAGGCAAAAAGGGTTAAGGGGGAATTAGAAGGACATTTGAAAGATACTGAATAAAAACAAGGCCAAGTAACCACACAACTTTCCAGTAAAAGAGGCTCCTGCATGCTCATTATTTCTGGACAGTCAGCAATGAACACAGCAGAAAGCACTTCCTCAGCCTCTTCACCCATACACCCCTGGTCTTTTAGAGCATTCTAAGGGTCCCACCTGCAGATGTAGGACTTCCAAATACCCACAAAACAGAACAATTGTTCTCTCCCTCACTGAGGTAACTAAGCTATTCACACCAGATCAAAAATCCCTTTCAGTGACTGTGAGTAATTAGGCTGTTGTTTAGAACTTACCACACTATATTATGACATGCAAAATCACACGTTAAGAGTTATATCTGATGGAACTCTTTTACTGGACGTCTTATGGATAGTTTCATTCTACTGATCAGCTTACTTAGTTTAAGACTGACTAAAGATCTAAGGAGCCAGGTAAAGAAGGTGTTGTTGTTATTATGCATTCTTCTGAGCATGGACAGTTTCTACTTTGAGCATGCTCAGAAGGAACTAGGAGGGTAGCATTCATGTTTCTCTCATTGAGTGCAGGCCACATACAACAAATCTTTGAGTATTTTTCAAGATTTAAGTTTAAATCCCCTATTTGTGGAAACTTGGCTTATCCTTGATGTATAGGGGGTAGAGACGAAACCAGTTCCTGTTCCCAAATGCAGCACACATAATTCCATCCCTGCCACTCTTCCTGTGTAGGCAAAGTTACACCCAATGGAGGCCAGGTGATCTTACTACTTACATTGCCTTTGGAGATGTAATTTGAATCCCGCATGATATCTCTAGCTAGGCCAAAGTCACAGATCTTTACCAACTTCCCCTCACAGATCAGCACATTTCTTGCAGCCAGGTCCCGATGCACGCACTGTAAGACAGGGAAGAGACATGTTGTATCACACTGTGCGTGCATACGATTGTTTATCACTCAAACAACTGACAATAGAACAGCAGCCAACTTCCTCAAACCAAAGCAGCACCAAGGGGAATCTGTGTGAAAAAGTAATGAGAGCACTGGGGGCCTGTACAGACAATAGCTTTACAGACATGTAGAAATGCTATTAAAAAGCTGCTATGGCAGTGCTATAGTCAGTTGCCTAGTGTATACACATTCATTTCCCCTTTATTCTACGATACTAAGTTTAGCAAGTTTTTGTAGCACTCCAGCCTGCAAAATCTTCAACAAGGCCCTAGGAGATGACAGGGTAGCATGGTCAGAGTGTTAGGCTGTGGTCACACGACAGGGTTAGCAACATCGGCCCCCACTTCAAATTTCTCTCTCTTTTTTTGGTGACAGAGAAATTTGATCAGACATCCCATCCTTAACCTGCTTCACCCCGCACTCACCCACCCCGTGGAGGACCGATTAGATGGCAGTCACAGTGTAGGAGCTTTTCTTTATTATTTGTCCTTGAGCATGCACATAAGCACACATGAGAAGTAGCAGCAGGTGGTCAATGGGACTGCAGGATGAAGCTGCTGGGATTTGTAGTGTGGCTGTGAGGGCAGTGTTTTTTAAAACTGTGCTTTTAAAAACTGTTTCAAAAGTTTCAAAGCCAGAGGGAGAGAATAATAGAAAAGCCTCATCCTGTGTCCTGTGTGCTGACGTTTTTATTTAAAAGCTTGGAGAGAAGATGGAGTCATGGCATTGTTCTCAGATTGCCTCCCCCCCCCATCTCTGGAAAAGACCATCTCTGGAAAAATCACATCTTTTCAATTAACCCCTTTCCCAACCACGTGTGCTGCAAAGCTGTAGGCAGAAAACAGTTGAAACACATAGGTGTCTTTCTTTGGAATGTTTTAAAAGGTTTTAAAAAGAGAAACACATGGGGCAAAGATGTGCTTACACATATACCACTAAATGAATTTTTTAAATGGCTGTTTTAAAAGGTTTTAAAAAGAGAAACACATGGGACTGACGCAAGTGTGCTCTCTAGCTTCCCAAATGGGTTGATTTCGCAAGAGAAAGTTCGGACACCAGGAACTGTATGGTGAGACCTGTTCAATCCGTAAAGCTCTGCTTTTTTCTGGTGTTGGGAAAGTCAGCTGTGAGTACAGGCTGCCAGTGACAGCAGAATGGGAGACAGATCTCACTGTCTGAATGATCATTTTTAATCCGTAAGGAAGAAGCAACAAAACTGGGTGAAATAGCCTGTTTGATCACAGCCTTAGACAAAGACACTGAGAAAACCAGGTTCAAGTCCCCGCTTTGCTTCAGAAGCTTGCTGGATGATCTGGGACCCGTCACATTCTCAGCCTAACCTACTTCACAGGGTTGTTGCTGTGAGGCTAAAATGGAGGAGGAGAGAACAATGTGATAAGCTGCTTTGTGTCCCCACTAAAGAGCAAAGCAGGATATAAACAATAAAATAAGTACTGTTGCAGAAATCATGGACATGTTTCGGTGTAACTGTACCAGATATTTATTGCTCAAAAATAGTTTTAGAATAGTTTTCAAATGATTTGTAAAAATAACTCATATTTCAACGTGGCCAGGGAGTACAAGACCTCGTTTCTCTCTCTGCAATGGCTCACTGTTCAAGAGGATTTTATTTTTTCAATGTTTTCTTTTTCTACCCTGGTTATATCTTTAGCAGAGCATGTAGAGAAATGGCTGTACAACTTTGTCCTCTTAGGACATTGTCACCTGTACAGTAGTAAACAATGTCCCCAAAGTACAATCAGCTACAGTTTGCTTTCTGTATATAGAAAACAACCTGGGGTGCAAATAGATCTGTATTTTGGGGTAAAAATATCCCATGAGTTTTTAAAGTAAACATTGATCCAAGGAAATACTTTAAATGCTCTGAACAGTTTATGACAACCTGATGACCCTTCCTGATAACGTGGGGTGCATTCAGAAGGATAGCTAATCCTACCATTATGCCATCTCAAATTTGATCCCCATCTTTTAAATCCATCCTCGCACGACCAGACATCCCCCGGGGGAATCGCCTTACCGCGTGCTGCTTCCACTGTGGATTGTCAAGACGGCGTCCACTGAAGGAGGCACGCGCGATGGCTTTCTTTTTTAAAAAAACTTTTTGCACATGCACATAGGCATGCTATTATGGCCTTGTTTATCCACGCATGCGCAGAATCAAGATTTTTTTAAAATGGCATCTGTTCAGGGATGGTCTGACATCAGACCATCCTGAACGGGTGCCGTTTTTAATTGCGCGCTGGAACGATCAGACGGGGAAAGTCTGCGAGTGGCCCGTTGGAACTGAAAACTCCAGATTTAAAGTAGTATCTTTTTAGTACGACTCCAAGGCGCGGCAAAACAGGATGCTCACGGAAGACGGACGTTTCCTAGATGTTGATGTCTGGACATTACATTTAAATCCATGAGGCACCCGTGCCTCGCGCAGATCTAAAGAGCTGACTGAACGCACCCACAGAGAATATTTACCTCATCAATGAGAGAGAGAGATTTGTGAGATCTTCAAATATCCCAAGATGCAAAAATGCTAAATTATTAATTTTAGATGTTTTTCTTTAAAACCAATCAAAGTTTTGTTAGTTGCCCAAGATTTTTAGTTCCAAACATAGTTTTTGTTGTTTCTTTCTTTTTTTAAGGTATAGTTTGTAAAGAAACTATACTGGTTTGAGTTATTTAATATGCTAAAGAGGAGGGGTGGATCTACACAAAAGAAACTTTCTCCCTCATGTCAAAGTATATTTTCAAGCTCTGGGACGTTGGGACACAGTGATATCTGCCACCATGAAACATTTTTGTTCTTGTGGGAATATTGCTACTCCTAGTTACTTTAGAGTAGAAATATACCCCATATGCAATATGCATAAGGTTTGTTACGAGGTTGTTAGAAGATTTATTATTATTTATTTCATTTATACCTTATACTTCATTGATACATTCCTTTATGCCTTTCTCCCCAATAGGATTCAAAACAGCTTACATCATTCTCCTCACCTCCATTTTATTCTTACAAGTTTCCCCCATTACTTGCACTGTAGGGATGCCAGGTACCTGCTGGGGGCGAGAAATCTCCAACCCCAGCTCCTGTTGCCTGCTGCTGCTCCAGAGACCAGCAGGAGGAAAATTAAATAAAAACAAACAAACAAACGCCATTGGCATGATAGTATAATTATTTTAGCATTCCAGGGAAAGTGTTGCCATGCCTCTCTAGGAATATGTTCCAGTGATTCCTAGAAGGGCCTGACATAACTTCTGGGTTTCCCTGCACCAATAGCACCAATAGCAGCCCCCCCCCAAACAGCCACCAGTTATCAAGCGAATAATGCTGAGTTTCAAAACATCTGTATCTTGTGGTATATACTCTGTAACATAACCATAATCATTACCAAGTTCCTATTGTACGGTAACCATTGGTGGTAAGTTTGTCTGCACAAGCTTGCACCACTTTAATTATGTTTCCTTTTCCCACACTGAGAAAAAGTATTTTGAGAAACATTTTCCGTGTCTGTTATACGCTATTGTCACTTCCAACTTATGGTGATCCTATGAATTAATGTCCTCCAGAATGTCCTATCATCAACAGCCTTGCTCAGGTCTTGCCAACTGAAGGCCGTGGATTCTTTTATTGAGTCAATCTATTTATTTCATGCTGGGTCTTCCTCTTTTCCTTATCAGTTATGAACGAGAAGGACAATATCACTGGAATGCCCCAGGGTTAATGAATGTATCTAACCACCAAGTAGATTAGTTTATGGCAACAAACACTACCACATAATTCAGCTTTAACAACAATTCACTGTACAATCCTAAACAGAGCTATATATTTTCAGGAAAACGTAGGAGGATATAACCCATTTAGGATTGCTCTTCTAGAATGTCTTAGAGAAGCCGTATTAATTTGTCCTGGATACGGAATTCATCATCACACACAAAAAAACAACAACAGGGAAATCTCTAAGCCTTAAAATGTAACTACTTTGATGATAGTCTTGCAACTGATGGGCATTGTCTGGTGAAAACGCAACAGCCACAGAGGGAGCAGAGCATTATTTGTCATGGCCAGGAAGTGGGGCTTCAGTGTCTTCTTGCCCTAATGACTATAGAACCAAAATAAACTATGCAAACTAAATGCAAATCTGTTGATTTGAATAATAAATACTAGCCCCAAGGATCTTGCTCTTCATGACACAGGTTTTGTATTATTCAAAAGCACCCAATACACAGAGTTGTACATGAAGAATACTTTCTGCTACAGAACAGGGATAGATACTCCCTCAACCTTCCACTTCTAGGAACAATGCTAGTGGCTGCATTTTTATGCCATGACAATATCATTGTCCCATTAAAACTTAGAGATTTTTGCAGCTTCCCGACATTAGCTATGAGGGAATCTAAAACTTCTTGAAAGAGAAACTGAACATTGCATGATTGAAATCCAGTCTGCCATAAACAGCAGGAGAACTTATTATAATGCAATGATATATAGTCCAGCTCTATTGAATGCTTTGGTGCTGGCCTGCTCACTGGGGTGGCTGTATAAATATTGCTTAATCTGTTCTGAGGAAAAGGGATGTAGTCATGTCTAAAAGGGGGCAATAACTTGAGTGTGTAATAACACATAAATCAAAAGTCCACCTATGCTTAATTAATTTGCTGCCTCCTGTTTCCGTTTCTGTCTTGCTGTACAAACACACACATAAAACAAACAACTTCTGCTTCTTTGAAGCCAATCATCCTTATATGATATACAATTCTGGACACACACATACTCACATTTTTGGATGCTAAGAACTCCATTCCATTGGCCACTTGGAAGCTAAATCCAATAAGGTCTGTGTAGCTGAGGAGGGGAGACTCATTTATCAAAGTCACCTTTTCAGGAGCTGGAACAAAGACACAAATAATGCTTATTTGTCGAAATCTGAATACATTTGGTAGACATAAACTGGTCTATGCCCTATCTCCAATCCTACAGACCTTGCTAGAATGATAAAACTAAGGAGAACACTAAATCAAAGGAGGAATATCATTAGAAGTAACATCATAAGATAATATAAAAAGATTTTCTCCTCTGTGCAATGAAACCAATGTTATGACCAGACATTCATACCTGCTGTTTCCTTCTGGCTTTCCTTACCTGATGGAGAATAACTGTCCAGCTCATAGGTAGCACCATAATTGGAGGAATCAATGTCCACATACTTGATTTCACCCTTCATGTTTGACATAGGCACATAATCCAGTGACTCATCCTTACTCATGTCCATGTAGCCCCCATCACTTTCTACAGATAAGGAAGTATGGCTGCAAAGAGGGGGAAAGATGATTCAGACTACGCATTTGTCCCATTTGTACAGAGCTATGACAAACGGGCTTCATGTAAACAAGAAAGGTTTACAGTGTCTTGGTTTACAGTGCCCAAAGGCAGATACAATTAGAGACAAACAAAAAGTACAGTGCAAGTGAATCTACTGATGCACGGTTTCAAATATATAGCTGTACAGCTATATGTAAGCACCTGCTTGAATCAGAGCTGTGTGTGCTGATCCCAGTATAAGTGTGGGAATAGGGTGTTTGCACATATCAGCGGTCAGTTTTGTATCAAAATGGCCATATAGCAGAAGTGCATAAACTAGTCTATTTTAAAAGCTTATTTTCAGCAATCTAGATGTAGGCAATAGCCTGTGCATACACTCACAGGAGCTTAAAAATAAACATTTCAGCTAAATTCTCAGAAAATATTGATCTCAGGTTGACATGGGTAGTTACACACCAGCATAATGCTTAGAAACATAGGTTCAGGTGGGTAGCCATGTTGGTCTGAAGCAGGAGAACAAAATTTGAGTCCAGTAGCACCTTTAAGACCAACAAAGTCTTATTATGGGAGGCATGAGTCCGGTAGCACCTTTAAGACCAACAACAGTCTTATTATGGGAAGCGTTCGTGCACACAAAAGCTTATATCCAGAATAAAACTTTGTTGGTCTTAAAGGTGCCACTGGACTCAAACTTTGTTCTGCTTAGAAACATAATGAATGACCCTTTAATAGTGTTTCTCTTTTATCTTTGAAGATCATGCAAAAGATATTGTACATTGTCCACTTGGACCTTTTGTCTAGCAATACAAAAAACTGATTAGTATCTGACAACTGCCGTGCAACATGATGGAGATGTAGGGAAGTGATACTAAGTAATGATGACAGAGGGAATAAAACAAATTAGCCAAAACAATATGAAAGGAAATCAAAAGTCAGATCAGAGCTGATTGCCATTGTTGTTACTGTTATGTGATGATATGATGTTTATTTTAATTTGGAAAAATGATGGCTAAGATGGAACAACATGGAGGTTATAAAATTACACTTGATGAGATCTATAAAATTACACTTGATATGGAGAAAGTGACTATAGAGGATGTTTTCTTCCTCTTCCATAATGATAGAACTCAGGATCACCCAACGAAAACGACTGGCAGTAGATTAAGGATAGATGAAAGTACTTCTTCATGCTGTGCATAATTAATATATGTTATTCACTGCCACAAGATGTAGTGATTGTTATTAGCCTAGGCAGCTTTAAAATAAAATCAGCCTAGGCAGCTTTAAAATTCAGTCTTTCTGTGCAAGGTAACTGAGACAGCAGCAGTGAACAGCTCCATTCTTGGATAACTCATGTGCTCTGGACCCTTTTCAGTCTTGCTTCAGGCCAGGCTATGGGACAGAGACGGTGCTAGTGGTTGTAGTCAAAGATCTCTGTCTGAACGTAGACAAAGGCTATGCCTCTTAGTGGCTCCTACTGGAGTTATTTGCTGCCTTGATACAAGAGACAATAGTGATCTTGTTAAAATGTTTGAAGGCAGAAGTCGGTATCGGGGGAGGTGCTTTGTATTGGTTTATATAATTTCTTGTGAACTCATTCAAAGGGATGTCGGAGACAGTTATCATCAGTGTGGCATTTGTCCTGTGGAGTTCCCTAGGTCTTGAGCCACTGTTTGACCGCTATGGTCAAATAGCTAGAAGTGAACAAATAGAAATTGAACCCTGATAAGACAGAGGTAATGCTGGATGGGAAGATTGAATTCTTGAAGGAAATTGTACTTCCCACTTTTGAGAAAGGTAAACTACAAATCACAAAAATAAACAAATAAAACACAAACTCCTTATTGCTATAAAAGGATCGAATTGCTACTTTTCATGAGCAGCCCTAATCCTACCCCCAAAGTGCACACACTTAAATGTGTAAATCCATGCAGGTAGCTTTTGGAAACACAGTCTCCTAATTTGACTTTTGTCAGCTTTCTGGCAAAATAAGGACAAACTGCATGAAAAGAATGACAACAGTACTTTCTTTCTGATAGGCATGTAACAGATTAAAAACAAGATCCGCACCATGAGGAAACTGCAAGGGTCACTTTCATTTGGAGTACTTGACACAGGATTGAATGGAATGGGCTTGTGCAAAACAGCCAAGGAAGGTTTCTTTTGGAAATGCTCTGTAGATCATTACTGCATCGCCTAGAAGTTCTAAGAGGAATCATATCTGGAATCAGGAAATAATTTTCCTTAATGTTAGAACTGACTAATGATATCAGGGGTATTTTTGGTAGTGGTGGTCTGATTTTGCCATTCTCCAAAACATACATCTCCTGTTTGCACTAACTATTTGGATGGTTTCCTTGCATCATGCAAGCATCTCTGGAGTGGGATTTACTTGTTTACTTTTACTTCCAGCTTCCAACACAGGTAACCACAATGCAGAGGGGCAATCTATGAGAGGGTTCATCTGTGGGGTACTCACGTGGATTTGTTCTGTGGATTCCATACCTTGTGATGATTACAAATATCAACTCACGATCAGGAAAAGTTATGATTGTGTGAATCATTTTTGAGAAAAGTAAGAAAAACAACAAAGCCAAGGTAGTACTGTTGGATCTAGATACTGATATTTTCATACAGATATCAAAAGAGTCATCCAGCCTTAGATTTTTTGTTTGTATGTTTTGCTATCAAGTCACAGTCAACTTATGGAGACCACACAGGGTTTTCAAGGCAAGAGACTATCAGAGGTGATTTGTCATTGGCTGCCTCTGCGTAACAACCCTGGACTTCCAAGCATTAACCAGGACTGACCATGGTTAGCTTCTGATGAGACTGGGTGAGTGTGGGCCATCGAGGTAAAGGCAAGCAATAGCTAAGTAGAACTGAAAAGTATACTAGGAAAATCCGAGCTCTGAGCTGAAGTTTCTGTCTTGTTTCTGTTTGAATGTACCAGAAAGGGCATATTTGAATAATGGTAAGATGTGCATTATCAAGAGGAGGATGTTAATGCACAAGTACCTCTGCACCCTGTCCTCATTGAGGGCATTCCCATACACCTCCACTTCCTGCTTGGCTTTTTCACTGCAGTACTGTAGGAAAGTATGCTTGTTCCTGTGTAGGTAGTCCACCAGGTCTCCATAGCGGCAGTACTCCGTTATGATATAGATAGGGCCTGTAGAAAAGAGTATCAGCTCTAATCAGTGGCATCTGAAAACAGGTTTCCCTGCCTATCACATGGTCTAGTTTTAATTTACAGTCAATTGCACTGCAAGTGGGGACTAAAATGAATGAATGCTCTTCTAATAGGGGAACAAATTCCCTGTAGGTAGGCAACTAGCATGTCAGAAAGAAAGCTAGGGAAGAACCTCATCCCCTGACATTCTAGTTTTCTACGCTGAGGTAATCAGTCTGAAGTGGTACAGCCCAGACACAGGGTTACCAATTCACTAATAATGAGGTCTCTGAGTCCATATGTTTACATTCCTTTATAGGAACTGACAAACTACATTGTTTGTTTTGTCTCCCTGTGTCCTCAGTTCTCATTATTAAAACCAATTTTAACATTGCTGTTAAGTAATACTGTTGTCAAGTTTATCTCTGCCACATATATATCATGATAAATGGATTCTTCTATTTGTAAAAGAGTACATCTGGAGGCCAAACCCGCTTCCAACAATAGTAGTGCAAAGTTGGGGGACCCCCAGAGAAATCCAGTTTGTTCAAAAAATAATTTGGGGTGAATCTCAAAATAAAATATTAAAAGTAAAAAAACAACAACATAAAACAGTAGATGGGAGCATCAGCAGAAAGCACTGATAGTTGTGGATCTTCCCCAGCAGTCCCTTTGAACACCTTTGTGCAGTGCTGTTGGACACACATGCAGTAATAGCTACATGGGTCAGTGGGCTATAGTAAAGAGGGGGAAGGGGATGATATCACCCTCTTCTGTAAGCAGAACTGCATTGACAGGAAAGGGAATGATGTCACCTTCTTCCGACTCCTCACTGCACCCAGTGACATTCATGGCTATTTCTCCATGTAGGTCTCACAGCTTCAGGAATGAAATTCTGTGGGGCCAGGAAGGACTGCTGGAGGGAAAAGCAAGAAAGATCTGCTATCTTTGTTTGAGTGGATTGCTGGGTCCAACCCATAGTCTACAGATATGAGATTATGTAGCATTATGAGTTGCCATAGCAACCCAAAACAATGGCCAGTGTTGTGGCAGTAGTGCCGGCCACCGGTACCATCAGAGGAGGAGGTGAAGATAAGGGACAGGGAAACAGAAGTGAAGAAGAAGAGATAGAAATATATCAGGAGAGGGCTGGCAGCCAGAGACACAGTCAGCAGCAAGGAACTGTGATTTCTCTTCTCTGTCAGTCCTCACACCTCCGCAGTCATAAAACCACAACAGGAATAAAATATGCACGGACTATGCATTGTCTCTGGGGAATAACATTGCTTCCACACCACCATCCCTCCACAGAAATCTGAATCTTTCCTCTTGTGAGACACTTCAATGCTGCAAGCTTGGGAAAGGAAACTGTGGTTTTGAAAATGATGTAGTCATTAAAGTAAAATGGTTCTATAAACGGGTGATAGGAGGGAGCTGTCATTCTGACGGGCTGTTTGGAATATACTGGTGGACAGAGCAGGATAGTTTTCTCATTTCTGCAAGAGAAGTTCAGAGAGCTGGCAGGTTGTCTTCCTACTTAGGAAACAACCACGTGAATAAACAGGAATGGTACATTAACTTATGGAGCAAAAAGTTATGGCAGACTTTCCCTCTTGCTGCCAAAAGGCAGTTTGATTTTCAGCCATAGTGAGGGCTCTTTTTGTAGCAGGAACTCCTTTGCATATTAGGCGACACACCCCTAATGTAGCCAATCCTCCAAGAGCTTACCGTAGCCCCTGTAAGAAGAGCTCTGTAAACTCTTGGAGGATTGGCTACATTAGGGGGGGTGTCGCCTAATATGCAAAGGAGTTCCTGCTACAAAAAGAGCCCATGAACTCTATGCAAGGTTAGAAATGGTTGTGTGCAGCAAGAGCAGGAATCAAGAAAGTACACAGAGGTATTGCCTAGTAAAGAGAATGCAATGAAACCAGTACCTCCTTTGGTGCAGGCTCCAAGCAAGTTGACAATGTTCAGATGAGGCCCAAGATGACTCATGATCTTCAGTTCCGACATCAGTGCTTGCTTCTCGCTGCTTCTGGCAGTAGCTGCAACATGGATGAATCAAACGATGAAATGCAGAACAAGAACATTTTGAAGTACAAGAAAAGGGAGGAAGCTGGACAGATTCATGGCTTTGAGGGTAGTATTAATCTCAGAAAAGGAGTCTATTAGTAGTTACATAAGTAACTACTACCTACCTAACATCCATACACTGGATTACTCCCCAAGGAGCCACCACCTAAAAACATTTCCAAGTGAGAGCATTCCACACTGTAGAGTGCAACATGTATAGCTGTCTTGTATGAAAAATCACACATAACTAAATAGTTATCTTATTTATGAACAAGTGCATGTTACTGAAAAGGTTACTGTAGCTGACCTTTCATTTTTCCTTTGTGCAAACATTTTGCTTAACATGCTAAATCCTGTGATGGATATAAACATATTGTTTTTTAAAAAGCAGAATCTGAAAGGGAGGATATGTGGGATGACTGAGAAAACATCTGAATGTGGATGCACTGTGGGAGAAAGAGAAGACTTCAAACTTACACTTGAGCATTTTCACAGCAACCCTCATCGTGGACTGTGTGTGACTCATACCATGGGCTATGGCTTCCACCACTCGCCCAAAAGCCCCTGAGCCCAATGTGCGTCCTGTATCAGAGAGAGAGGCATTTTTCCCCATCATGAACAGCATAAGAAACCACTATCTACTTCAGAACTTTCCAGTTGTAAACACAGATGGGAAGAGCTCAGTTGTATGGAAAATGTTAAACTCTTTACTGGAAAGATTGGACAGCATGAACTATTCTCCAGGGAAATGACTAAAGCTGAGACTTATGTCTGGCTAAAGCCCGATTTCTGCCTGGCTGATAAGGCAGCAATTCTAATGAATGACATAAACCTTGGTACTTTCGTCCAAACAATGTTGTGCGCATTCTACATGTGACCACTAGATGGAGGAGGTAATCACTATTACCACAGCAACTCATTATTCTTAGGCACTCATAGACAGTTTGCTTCTATACATTAATTCAGCAGTACCTAGCTACTAGGATGAATTCCCATGAAGTAAACAGTTTTTAAAAAATGGATCTGCATGTTTTGAGCTACCCTTTAGAATGGTCCACAACATAGTTGCATACTGGTTAGAGTGCTGGTCTAGGTTTGGGGAGACCCAGGTTCAAATCTCCGTTCACTAAGAAACTCAGCACCTGGCCTGTCATTTTCTTTCAGCCTAGGATTACCTAGCTCAGGGTAGGGCCTGGAATTCTCTCAGAGTGACAACTGAATACAGAGACTACAGAGATCTTCATGAGGCACTGCAAAGCTTGCATGTTTGCTGGGGCTTTTGATGGGGTTTAAATGGCAGGCATCTTTTAAGG